CATACAAAGAATCTCAGCACAATATAAAATGTGAACCTCTTTGCTGAGAACCACTTTTCTCCAAACTTTGAACTGTTTGGGGAGGGGGACATAAAAACCCAAAAATATAATTTAGAAGCCAATGAACCAAAGATGACAGAAGTTAGCAGGTATCCTGCAAGTCATAAGTACTAGCTTTACTTTCTACCAAGCAAAAGACTTAAGCTCAGCTGTGATATTCCTTCCCTACCACCCCATGGATTGTATAATTTCTACATCTGGGTTTACATCAAGTCCAAACAGATAGGATGGTGTGAAAAGCTGTATTAGCAGAGGGATTCTTTTTCTATCCATGACTAGATTTGAAGGTATTTCTTTACATTTTGTAATTCAAATTAAACCAAATGGCCAAGCATAGTATGTGCACCAGTTTCAATGTCTCAGTAAGAGAAAGGTGTGGCTTAAGCCACAGTTACATTCAATATTTGGATTTTATACTTTACCAAGGGCAATTAAGAGGATATTTCACCATTAAGCAAGATGAAAAGCTACTTCCCTGTTTCAAAGGCCTCTGAATTACCTTTTCAGTAAAAGTAAGAATTTTTAACAGATTGGAACACAGAAATCTTAATGTGTTTCCTGGCCACTCTATGATTGTGGTGTGCTTATGATTGTTAGTAAGAAAACAAAAAACAAATAATATAACTTCAGATTCACACATCAAACCAGAAAAAAAATAATCAAAAAACACCAACAATAAGCATCAGAAGCTCACCACTTCCAGTCTAAAATCTGCCATCTACAACTCCATTTCTTCTTCTGCACACCCAGATATTCCCAAACTAGCATATGGATCTGGAGACATGGCAGTCTGTTGTGATCCAGAGAACGTTTCAGTCTGTGGGTCAAAAGGAGCTCTTGGTGTTGGCTGCTTAGCTTGACACCCTTCTGTACTCTGCTGCTTGAAGTTCTTAACAGAAACAGACTTCAGTTTATCTGTCATAAATTCAGGAAGAGGTTTCCAAAGCACCAGCTCCATAGAAGGACGGCTCCTAGAAGGGATGGAGTTTCAGTAAAATTTAAGTTCTCCAAGAACGGCTATTAAATGCAGAAGACCTGTATCTTCATCCTTTGAGCTAGCCTGGGACTATATTCCAGAAAATATATACCTTTTTTCCCCCCTATTAAATTTCCTGTTCCCTAACTAGTTTCATTATTTCTAGTTCTAACCCTGTATTTCCTCTCTTTTTTGCACCAAACTTGACCACTTGGTCACACTTCAGGATCTTCTCATTTTGAAAATTCATATACATAAAACCAAAACTTACACTGGTTCACTCAACAAATTTCACTCTGTAGAAATGAGGAGTACAAAACAGATACTTGATGACCACTACAGTTACACTTATTTCTTTTTTACATTAGGACAGTTTTTCCTATTTTTAACCAGATGTTATACAATGTTGGCTGCATCATGCAGTAATCAAGGTCATCTCCATAAACATGAAACGAGGTCTCTCTTCATTTGCATGTGTTAGCTACATAACACCATGATTTCCTCCAGAACTTACATAGATTCTATTATTTTCTTTGTCAGGACTTCACCAAAATCCCTCTTCATCCCTTTCTTAAGGGTATCTGACAGGATAAGAGTGGGCAGATTGCTAACATTTCCATCAGCATGAACTTCCTCATCTTCATCAATTATCCTAGGAATGGAGGGGGAAGAGGGAGATAAACACTATTGAGCATACTGTTATCAGGAACATCCACTGCAGACTACAGTCACATCTACGTGTTCTGCTCTGTGCAGATCTCTGACCTAGGCTGGGTACCAGAAGCAGCAGGGCCATGTTAACACGAGTCTCTCTTGGGCCAAAATACCCTGAGGATTCATCACAGAAGCCACTCGAGCAGCAATGCCACTTCTGGTACCTGAGCTAGCTTTGTTACCCCTGTGGTACCCCAGCAGTATCAGTGCAGACATACACTGAGAGAGAAGAAACAAATTCCCTCCAAGGAAAACTGTATGATTCAGTCACATTACACAGGTGAGTCTCAGCTATGCAGCTGCTTCATCTGCTCAGTTCCCCATAACTGGACTTTGAGAATTATTGCAAAGGTACTGAAAACACTGCTGCACTTTTCAAAATGTTGTGCCAGTTTCTGACATTAAATCAGCAGAAATTGTTGAAGTGTTTAGAATAAATGGAAACATCTCCTTTGTTTTTGGTAAACCTTTTATAGAAAATTTAGTGTAGCTGGGAAGAATAGGGAACAATCCTCCAAGAGGACCAAAGCAGACAGACACGTAATAGAGATATATTTCACTACTCTGATTTACCCATGAAAAAAAATAACCGTCTAACAGTACCCTGCTTTTCCTTATGCATCATCTATGGAGTAATCTACAAAAAAATCTTGTTTTAAAATTTCTGTAACTTGGCTTTTCTAATCATCTGCAGTGGTCATTTTAGATATTTTGGAATACCAGCTCAACTGCAATCAACTGATACATACACATGCCATTCCCAGAAATCTTTCAAGGGCCAGAATACACAGTAAATTTATTGAATTACTGTAGCAGACTGTCTATAGCCACCCCATTACCCCACATCACCCCATCAGCAAGATGAATCTCAGCCTTACTGCATATGTGCAGAGAGACCTCTCTGGTTCATACTACTCTCTACATTGACAAATTCACATCTATTTTAAGTATATTACAGAACATGCTGCAGCTGGTTGAAAAAAGCTGAGCACAAGCCAGAGGAGGTGAATGCTATAATTTGAGCTCTGGATACTCACAGAAGAGCATTAAACCCCATTATGGTATATTGAAGCTGCATAATGATTGTGAGCAGGGTGTTATTTACTCAGCATCTCCTGCTCTAGCACTCTCAATTTCAGATCAGTCTGAAGACTCCCAGAACCACAGGTAGCCTAAAATGAAATAATTTGAACAGAAGGTTCACCTCAGACTTACAGCAGTGTTACCACACTGCTAAGTGCTAGATTTACCCCTGAATGCCCACCAAAAAAGGGAAAGCTCAGCAAAGCCAGGCTACTCAATCCCTGCATTTACCTGTCCTCAATTTCCTGAAGTTTCCTGCGAGCAACCTCGCATTGCTGTTCCCCCATTGTCTGATCCATTTCTTCACAGGGAATTTCTAACATGGCAGTTTCAGGACCGCTGCCACCATACTGACTTGCTACCTCCCCAGCTGCCTGCTGACCTGCACAGAGAATCCATTCTTCAGTGTTGGGATTCAAAGGGCAATTTTTGGCTCCTGTCAGTCTCTTCTTCCGCACAGGACAGCTAGGAAACAAAGTGAATTTACAATTGTCAAAAAAGAAATGTGGCATTCTACAGGAACAAATATTATAGAATGTGCATTTCAGCAGCATAGACACACTATGGCAATGCAACCTCAAGGAAGAAAATAAATTCACATTGCTCTTAGTAAAATGTGAGTACCTATTCAGGAAAATCAGTGCCACACAATTAATTAGGTAACAGAAATGAATTTGGGCTCATGTGCAATGCAAGGGAAGAGTTCCAAATAGAAACAAGGATAGATTTCCTTCCTGTTTGTATTGTAGGTGAGATGTTCTCAAATTTTTCACAAAACAAAAAGCAAATCAAGATTTTTCAGGCTATAAAAGACAAATTAATTTACCCTTCTGCCTCTTCTTCTAGCTTATGCTTCTTTCCACATCGCACAGAGACACTACAAAAGAAAAAGGGTTACTTAGCTTCAAATCATATCTTCTGGTTACACTGGTATTTTCAAGCAATATTTTTCTCCCTTTTAAAATTTTATCTGAGATCAACAGTCACAGTATGTCACCAGCTGCGAAGGGAATAAAATGACCACGTTTTTCCAAAGGAAGTCAAAGGCACCTGTAATTGCTCACTTCTCTGAACAGAATTCCATGCTAAGGTCTTCTCCTTTACATTATTTATTATTCCACAAGGGGCAAGACCAATTTTTGCTAAAACTCAAATGCTTCAAGAAGCAACATACGACCCAGCTTGAATCTCTTAATACTCTGTATCACCGGGACATACTGAAAAAATACTGAAAAACATAAACGAGTCTGAACGTACCCTAAAACGTTGGTACACTTTCTTGCCTTTTAAAAGGCTCCTTCATCCCCCACCAGCCAGGGTGGTCTTTAGCCGACCACAATACAATTCTAACCTCCTACTAGTGCAACACTGCTAACAGGGAAACAAATCCCAGCCGCCTCGCAAAGCATCCTGCGCAGTTTCCCACTGCCGGCGCTCTGGGCTCAGCCCTGCGGGAACGGGTTTGGCACTTACTGGCTGCGGCTTCTGGTGAAGGAGCTCACCGGGGCCACCGTCAGCCCCTCGTTGTGGCACCCGAGCGCGGCCAGAGAGGCCAGGTCGAAGCTGCTCTGCAGACAGAGGCCGGAGGATCCGTCGACGCCGTCGTTTCCGATCCCTGTCATGCCCATCCCGGGTGGCTGCAGGCGGCCGTGGCCGCCGGCTAAGGGCTGCGGGCCGTGGCGGTCCGGTGCAGCGGCCGGCGCTGTGGGGAGCTCGACGGCCGGGCCCGCCGGGATACCCTGGCAGGATCTGCCTAGCGCTGCCATTTCCTGCTGCAGGGGAGAGAGCGCACATCAACGCCGCAATCCGCGCTGCGCGACGCGCCGGCCTTGCCCGAGGCGCTCCCGCAGGAGCCCCGCACGAAACCGCCTCCGGCCGCAGCGCTCGCTCGGGCCGAGCCGGGCCCGCAGCTGCGGCCGCCGTTACAGCCCGGGTCCTTCCAGGCCTTTCGCCGCGATCGGATAAGGACCCGCGGGCACTGTTGGGAGTTGTAGTCCCGGGCACTGGGGACCTGTGGGAGTTGTAGTCCCGGGTGCTGTGGGACCTGTGGGAGTTGTAGTCCCGGGTGCTGTGGGAGGCGCAGTCTGAGCGCGGGGCCCCCACCTTGGCCGTGAGGGCGGCGCGGAGTCCCTGAGGAGAGGCGAGACAGCCCCTTCTGGTGTCCGTGGCCCTGCCTCATCCCCGCAGCGGGGCGGGCACGGTCCGGCAGCCAAATCCCGGTCAGCTGAGAAGTTCAGGCGGGCTCGAGGAGGTGGCGAGCGGAGCTGAGCTCCGGGAGGCAGGAGGGAGGGATGGCGCCCAGGCACACGGTAACCCCCCGTCTTTGTCTTTAGTTGCGGGAGGCTGCGGGTTCTGCGCGGAGTTAGAGAAGGACAGTGCATGTACACAGTGTAAGAGGTGGGAAAGCTCCCTGAGGCTGCTCTGAGGCTTTGTCGAAGTTGGACATCTCTGTCACAAAAAAGTTCTGAACCGTTGAGGAGGGTCCCAATGGGCGGGGAAAAAAAACCCCAAAACAAACAAAACAACAACAACATAAAAAGCAAAGCTATGTATTAGCACGTTAGTAAATTAAATTATTTGGCAAATTTTTTTTTTTTTTCAAGTAACGTAGTTTATTAAATTTTGCAAAGGAAATCTAATTCAGCCCATGCTCAGAATGGAGCACCAGCCCCTGCTCAGAGGGTCTAGCTCGCCCTGCAAGGTAAGCAGAACCATCCTGGCCTCCGAAGGTGGATCCTGCAGGGAGTTTGTACTTTTAGCAATGATGTACAGCTGTGAAATGTGTGGGTATTTCATGTTAGCTTTTAAATAGAAATATATTAAGTGAAAGTGATTAGACTCATAAAGTTTTGTGCTTTCCTTGGACGCCTGGCTGTGTTAAAACGTGGAAGTTATAAAAGCAGCTTTCTGATTCTCGTGTTTTATGTTGAATATGTATTGAATTTTGTTTGTGTCATGTTTTTGAGATGAGGTGAACGCCCTTATAAACTGTCAGGAGTTCTGTAGCTGACAGAACACGAGGCTGTTATCCGTGTTCTCTCCAGACTCCAATGTGAGTCTGTGTCACGAGCCCAGATGATTTGAGCAGGAAGAACAAAAGATCTGTCATAACAAAACCTAAGTTATATGATGTATGTTCGTTATTTTGGGTTGTTTCTCTTCTGTCCCTTCTAGATTCCAGGTTGTACCCATAAGACACACAAAATAGCTTTACAGTACTTTGTTAATATAAAGGTCTGAGTGTGCAGTGCCAGTATTTACCACATCAAGTTTTACTTTTTCCTGACATACTCACCACAGCCCTTATTACTCTTGATTCATTGCTTTGGTTGAAATTCAGAGAAACACTTTTTATTCTTGGAAACCATAAGGAAATGTTAATAGGATTTTACTTTAATATGATCAATTTCAACTTGCAAATTTCAGTCCTGAACGAAGGAAGGAAGTTTTGATGAATTATCTTTAGGAAGGACACAGCTCTTTCAGAATACAGTACAGTCTCTGGAATAAATCAGCATTTCTGGGAACTGGACCAAGAATGAGAATGATGAAGAATTAGTCTACATACCTTACAATGAGAAACTCAGGGAGTACCAGTTTATTAAAAGAAATATGTACAGCCTTTATATATGAAGGAAAGAGAAATTAGATCACTAATCAGATCAGAGGTGCCTTTAATATAGAAGACCTTGTTGTGTTGAGCAGAAGTTAGTCAGTAAGATACTATGAGATGAAATTAGGACCTAATTTAAAATGAAAGGCTTGCTAGCATTTGAACTGGATGTTATTTTTAGTATGATCATATTCAGTAAAAAGTAAACTCAGTGAGCACTGCATGAGAATATCAAACACTGTACAAATCTCTGGTGATCTCTGGCCATGGGGCCTCATCCAAAGTATTTTTTATGACCAGTTACATTCTTGAGATTTGAATGCATCAGAGTCCTAGTTTTGTTGACCTTAAAACCTGTGAATCTGTGACTCTATGAATTTTAGTTTGTAAATACTAATTTGAGAATATAACTAGGTCAGAGATAATGAAAAATTAAAAAAATACGTGCCAATATGCCAATAAACTTTAAATTTAATATTATTGCCAGTGAACAAATTATTAAGGCTTTGCAGCTACCAACTTGCAGACATCAAGTAATCATTTTAGGGACTTAAAATATTGTTTAAATGAAAATAAAATAATGTTACTTCTCACATCTTGGTTAAAATGTGACTCACAGAAATTGAGCTTTGGTTAATTCTTATACCGAGTCATTGTATCTCTAAACACCAAACATAAACTGTCCTAGCATTCTTTCATTAAAAACAGACAATGTGAGCAGTGTGGCTTATGCAAAAAAGCATTTACTCAGTTTCTAATAACAGCTGTAATGGTTTTGTTGCCTACACTTAATCTGGAGACCTGTAGTTCTGGTATTTCTAAGGACTGTTAATGATCAGGGCCACAGCCAGCCGGAAATGCTTCTGCTGCAAGTGTTCCGGAGTTCAGGCGTTTTTTTTTAACAAATGCTTTCACTGCTCCAAACTAAATAAATGATGTATTTCACCATAATTTTCTTTTAGATATCACATGTGTGTGGGCTCAAGGTGCCTATCTCTTTTCATGCCAATGACTTTCTTTTGTTCCCCAGCTCCCCAGCTGGACGTTGTTCCTGGCTGTTTGTGCTGTTGGAATTGGAGGGACCTTTCAGTACGGGTATAATGTCTCTATTATCAATGCACCCACACAGGTAAAAACTCATCTTTTGTTCACTGGACTGTCTCCTCTCTGAACTCAGCCAGGAGGCCAAACATGTTTTTGCTGTGATGGCAGTGGGAACTGAAGCAGTCTTCCTCCCATATGAAGGAATCTTGTTAATTTCCCACGTGGTTTCATGTGCATTTGTTTGTGAGTACCTCTCAGCAGAGGTATTCTGTGTCAGACAAAAGTGCCAAATAGGCCCATAAATACCTTTATTATTAGAAGATTAACTGAATAAGTAACATATTTTTCAGTTACTAAGGGTAACACTAATGGTAGAATAGACCAGAACACTTTCAGTTGAAAGGGACCTACAATGACCATCTAGTCCAACTACCTGATCACTTCAGGGCTGACCAAAAGTTAGAGCATGTTACTAACAGCATTGTCGAAATGCCCTTGGAGCATTGACCACTTGTCTAGGAAGCCTGTTCTTCTGTTTGACCACCCTTTCTGTAGGATATCACCACTGTTTCTCCAAAGGTCAAGTTTAAACCTCCCCTGATAGCTTTGAGCCATTCCCATTCTTTCTATCACTGGATAACAGGGAAGAAGGGATAGTTACTATTTGCAGGTATCCATCACAAGACAGATTGCTGAAAAATATTTTAGGGAATTAAACTGTTGCATCTGTAGTGACTGAGTAACTTGTATGTGTTTTCACTTGTTACTTGAGTGTTCTTTGCTGTGGCCCCCAGGATTCTGCATATTTTGTGGCTGACTCAAAGAGCTGAGCAAATGGTCTTGTGAAAGTGATGGGTATCAGTTTTTGATACCAGCTGATTTATTTTCTTGGGAAATTGTGAAGACTGAATTTGCTTCAATGTTGTATGCTTTTTACAAAGTTTAAGAGAAGCTGTTTGTCAAAGAACATGTCAGAGGGAGAGTCCAAGAAATTTGTCCTTCTGTAGTCTTTGTTTGCAGGCGAAGAACAGGAGCTTCTGATTACAGATACATGCCAGTTCAAGAGTTTCTAAAGTCAAATAGTAGAAAACCAAACATGTGGAATAACAGCTTAAAAGTTCTGACACATGAATACTGTAAGAAAGGTGGAGTATTATTAAAGTTGAAAAAGGGATTTTACTATGACTTTTTGGATTACACTAAGGCAGGGGGATTTAGATCAAGTGTCAGAATGAGTCCCCTGACTGTAAAATTTTTTAGGTTGCAAGGCCTCGGTGCTCTGAGATGTTCCTAAAAATAGTAGGGCAAACCATTCACCCTGTTCCCCTCCTTGTTCAGAAGGACCTCGGAGCTCTCTCGTGGCAGTGCATGTCAGGGTTGTGTTTCTCCTTTGCTGCAGCACCTGAGGCAGGCACAAAGCAGAGCTGCTCAGCAGCTTTTGAGGTGTGTGAGGAGTAGCAAACACAAGGTCTTCCTTGTGGTCAAGGAAGATTCTGCCAGTCAGATGATATCTCTTAGAATTAACTCCCAGAATAGATTTTCAGGATTGGGGTGCAAGTTATTTGTAGTGCTATGTGTAGGGATGTATAAAGTGCTACACATTCATCACTCTTTTCTACTGCAGCATATACACAAGTTCTTAAACGAAACCTGGAGTAGTCGTTATCACAAGGAACTAAATCCAGATTTGCTGACTTTTCTTTGGTCTGTCATTGCTTCTATCTTTTCCCTTGGAGGCCTGTGTGGAGCCCTGATTGGAGGCAGCATGGCGATACGGCTGGGCAGGTCAGTTGCAGCAGCAGGCATATGAAAGCATGTTTGCTTTTTTCCTACCTTCCCACTGGAATAGAAAGTAAATAAATGGAGAAAGAGTGGGAGGAAAGAGTACCTTGGGTACCTATACATGTTTTTTTCACTTTAAAACTGAGTTTTCTAGTAAAATGTTACCATTTATTCCAATGTGACTTTCAAGGATGAGCCCTGAATTATGACCTTTGATTTAGTGTTTGCATTACATTTACTGAAATCTGAGTAGGAGAATGCGCACAGAGCGTATTGGAAGCATGAGTTTCCCCCAACACATTTGCAGCCCTTGTGCCAGTAAGGAGATGCTGCTTCATCTGTTGTAGTTCATTTGCCTAAGTGAAGAAACCTCACCCCTACTTTATCAGGCATTTCTGTCATATTTATGGATGATTCTTATGTTTAGACATTTTTAAAAATATAAGCAGTTGCATCAGATATCTGGGTTTCCAGGGAATAGCATGTTTCTTCAGTCTAAAGTCCATTTCTCCCCCACACATTATCAGAAAGGAAAACTGTTTAAAAACCCACATTGTTACAGGTTTTCTTAATGTTTGGTTGGGGTGGGTTGTTTTCAGTTTTGGGGTTTTTTTGTTTGTTTTAGTCAGTTTTTTGTTTGTTCTGTATTATTATTAGTAGTAGTAGTATTATTACTATTATTATTTTGTTCCTCCTCTTTAGGAAAGGAGCTCTTTTGATGAATAATGTTATAGCAATTCTAGCCTCCATTTTAATGGGGATCAGTTTCCCTACAGGATTGTTTGAGTTACTGATTGCTGGAAGGTTTTTGATTGGCATAAATTCAGGTGAATGATTTCTTATTCCTACTATCAATAAACTCTGGAAAATGATCAATTATTGTTACTTCTGATCCTTTAAGTTTTATGATACATGTTTATGATGAAAATGTTCTGTAGTTTAGCTTGGAATCTGAAGGCAGCCAAATGAATAGGCAATTAATTAAGTCCCATTTTGTATGTGTTTTGGTTTAGTAACTCTTTGCAAAGCAACTTGTATTGATAGGAAAATGTTTTTTCCATTTAATTGCAGGTATTGGGCTCTGTGTGCAGCCTCTTTATATTGGGGAGTTTGCCCCAAAACACTTAAGAGGTGGCTTGGCCATGGGGACTTCCATCTTTCTGACTGGGGGAATTCTGACAGGTCAAATAATTGGTTTGAGGTAAGAAATGCTTTTTTTTGTTTGTTTGTTTTCTCTCCTGTTTAGTGTTACTTCTATGTAAAGAATTCCAATTTCCTACAACTGCTTACAGAACATTCCTTGGTGCCATTGTAGCATTAGAATTCACACAAGGTCCCCCTGGGAGAAGAAAATCCTGCTTCAGTTATTCCTACAACTGCCAGCTGTCAGTGCTGTCTCTTCAGGGAAGTAGTGTCAGTTTAGATGTGTCACCAGAACAGCATCAGTAAAGCAGCCACATTTGAGCTGAGTTCATGTTTTCTACCATTTTCTTGCTGGAGACAGTGGGTGTTGGCAAGACAGGACTCGAGAGCAAAGGACTCACATTTCTGTTTCACAGCACTACCACTGCTTTTGTTTCCTGTATGATCAGAGGCAATTGCTCAGGCCTTCATCCAGCTGGACTTTAGAAGTTCCAAGAGCATAGACTGCACTAAATAGTAACCAATTGCTAATTATTGTATTTCTTTGCCTTCTTTTTCCGCACTTCTACAGAGAATTATTAGGTGGAGAAAAGCATTGGCCTCTGTTGCTATCCAGCAGCTGTATTCCAGCATTAGCCCAACTTTTATTCCTTCCATGGTTTCCTGAAAGTCCCAGATATCTTCTTATTGACAGAGGTGATGAGCTGAGCTGTGCCAAAGGTAATATCCAGTGTCTATACTTTCTGTTCTCCAGAAGGGTACAATGAATATATTGGGTTCCAGATTGTCCTTTCATCTTTTTCCACACAGCACAGTTGTATCATCTAGTGCTTTTTGGCCCATGTTTTTCATCCAGTGAACTTATATGGAAGAAGGGATTATGGAGCTGAGGAGCTTGTAATGGGTTATAAACAAAACTTTTTTATCTTGTTTCAAATATAAGTGCGTTGACTGGAGCTTCAAGCTGGTTACTCTTAGTGGAAAGTGATTATCAGGATCAGAACTCCTCCTGTTCACCTTAAGAAGACAAATTGTCACTTGAGATGTATTTAATCATGAAGATTTTAAAGAAACTGATGCTGTATACTCTTTAAGACTGTTTGTGAAGATTTTAGTCTGGGATCGAAGTGACTTCTGATTATATTTGCCTTAGGAGAAGGATTGTCTGTCTTTGCTCCAGCTCACTAACTGCATCCCACTGGCAACATTAAAGTCAGAGCCATAACAAAGAACTCAATATCTGCCTAGAATTTAAGCAAAACACTTCAAACTGGTAAGAATGTCCTTTAAGGAAAAGACTGTTTGAAGGTCCAACATTCACATACAAAATATTTTGGTGAGTATTTCAAGGTCAGATAATCCTCTAAAAAGAAGCAAAGAAGTGCCACAGAATTCTCAAAATCTATCACAGCAAAACATGTTGAAAAAACAGCAAGGAACAAAGAAGTCACAAAGCAAATTTTTCATATCCCAGCAAAAGCCAGTCATTATGGAAAGAGATGATTTGCTAGGAGTTGTGGTTCATAGGTAAATGTAAATTTTTTTTTTTCTATTTGTAGCTTTGAAACGATTTCATGGCTCCTCAGAGTATCGAAGGGAGATGGAAGACATCCAGCGGGAATGTTTTGCCTTAGATGGGGAGAAACCCAAGAAGCCCTGGCAATTATTCACTGACCGTGGTGTGAGGTGGCAGCTCATCACTGTCATTGTGATGACAATGGGCCAACAGCTCAGTGGCATTAATGCTGTAAGAGTTTATGTGAGCTTAAGGCTTAAATAATTATTTCATTTCTACCTGTTTTTCAACCATTTATTGACACAAAGGATCCACATAGAGAAGCTCAGAGAAATGGGATAAGTGGGAAAGAATGTCCTTGCATTATTTTGGTGTTTCTCTTTCATTTTTTCCTCATTTCTGCGTTTCTGGTATGAAAACTTTTTTAAAGCATGACTTCATACTTCCTCTGAAAAAGAATTCCTCTGAAAATCAGAGGATCAGCTTATTCCAGTGTGTCTGGTTTAAGAATATAAAGAATATTCAGTAAGTTGAATAATCCTATTGGCTTTTATGATAGCAATATGTTCACTTAGACATTAATTTAACAGATTGTTATTGCTCCTTCTGTTAAATTGGTAAGTCACAATATAAAATACACTAATCTGTATGTTTAGTATGAGCTTGACTTTGTTTCCAGACAGTGTTTTAAATACCAGAAAAACATCATTGTTTATTTTTGTTTTTTTTCTTTTTTTTTTCTGTTGTAGATTTATTTCTACGCAACTTACGTTTTTGAACAAGCTGGGATCTTGGCAGAAAAAATCCCGTATGTGACACTGGGCACTGGAGTTTGTGAATGTGTCACAGCGCTCTCCTGTGTAAGGCTCCCAGTACAGTGTAATTATTCTTCTTGAAGAATATTGGTAAAAACGAGATCAGTACATTAACAGACGATTGTATCTTGTCCACAGGGTTTGCTGATAGACTATGTGGGAAGAAGATACCTTATCATTGGGGGTTATCTCCTCATGACGCTCTGGTGCACTGTTCTGACCTTCTCTCTGACTTATCAGGTGCAAAGGACTTGTTCCAAATACAGGATGTGACTGAGTGAAAGGGGGGAATGGGTTTAAACTGAGAGTAGGGTTAGATTAAGTATCAGGAAGAAATTCTTCCCTGTGAGGGTAGGGTGGCCCTGGCACAGGCTGACCAGAGAGCTGTGGCTGCCCCATCCCTGGAAGTGTCCAAGGCCAGGTTGGATGGAGCTTGGAGCAACTTGGGATAGTAGAAAGTGTCCCTGGCCACGGCCAGGGGTGGAATGGGATGAGCTTTAAAGTCCCTTCCAGCCCATCCCACACTATGATTATGTAATTCTATGATAGATTTAGTAAAAATTATTGAATGAACACTAGTTAATTTCTCTGAAGCAGAACTGTTAAATAAATTAACTGTAGAAGAGTCATGAAAGACTGCTGGTCTTAGTTGAAATAAAATACAAAAGGAACTGTAACTGTTAAGTCAAACTTTAAAACTGTATTATCAAAGTCTGAGCTAAACTTTCTCACTCTCTTCTGCTTCAGGAGCTGTACTCCTGGGTGCCTTACATGAGCATGACATGTGTATTTGCCTTCATCTTGAGCTTTGGGCTGGGCCCAGGTATTGCACAGAAATATGTGTGAGTGGTGGAAGGTCTGGGGGGCTGGGGTATCACACAGGCAAGAAGGCTTTGCAGCCTGTGGTGGTGCTAAGGCACAAGGTGGCTAAGGAATCCAAGTGAGGCCATCCTGTAGCCCACATCTGAGGCTTAACATGCACGCTTCTGGGGCAGCTACGTGTGAGGGAGGGCTTAGTTCTGCCCTTCAGAGCACAGGGGTTCTACACTTGTCAGAAGGGGCCTGTTCTCTGATCAGTGCTGCTGAAATGGGGCTGTGTTGCAGTAGGAAACTTCCTGCAAGGGCAGTAGCCTCAGAATTGTGCTGTTAGGAATTATAATAGATAGGGTATTATAATGTTAGGAATTATAATAGATAGGGTAATTGTATATTCAAAAGCAAGTCAATATTTTGTAGCATTGGAAATACCTCAAATGGACATTAAGCACAATTCTCTGTTCTGTTTCTGAACCATCCCCAGGTGGCATAACAAACACCCTGACAGCTGAGTTATTTGTACAGTCCTCACGTCCTGCTGCCTACATGATTGCAGGGACTGTGAGTTGGATTAGTTTCTTCACAGTTGGGATGCTCTTTCCCTTCATAGTGGTGAGTATGCATATCACAATTTCCTTTTCATCTGCTCCCAGGTTCCATCCCATTGCTTGTATTGTATTATATACACTTGTATATATTAGTGACACTTGACCAGGATGCATACTGCCTCTCAAATAAGTTTAACTAGATTCAGTCCCTCTTGAAAGTATTTTTAACACATCACAAACCCTAATATGACATGATAAATGAAAAGTAAATGGAATGCACTGGAGGGCAATGTTCAGATGAAAAAAACAGAGAAAGTATCAAAAGCAGAAAAACTTAATCAGATACTGATATTTATATAGAACATTTTTCAATAGTGCCTTGTGCCTTTATGGCAAAGTAACATTGAGGTGGTACCTCTGGCCAGTGGGTCACATCTCTGAGAACTTGCTGAACTGAGAGTTCTGTAAGCAGATTATTAGGAAAGACAAGACAGGCTTTCATCTCCTGCTTTGTAGTTTTAGTTTTAGTACATATTCTTGGCAGCAAAACCTGCAGGAACAGCATGCATCAGGATATCTGGATCTGCCTGTCCTTTCTTCATGGTTGAGCTCTGTTTCTCAGTAAGACAGTTTGTTTTTTTTAATGTACAGCATTGAAAAATAACATTCAGAAAAACTTCAATTATATAATCTTAAAATATGTGACAGCTAAGTAGCAAATGTTGACTTCTCCCTAGATTGTGACATTTGACTGTTTAAATGGTTTATCTTATTTTTAAAATAAGTATCTACCTAATAATTGCACAGCACTTGACAGCAGTCTTTTATCTAAAAACCGAAATTCTACAAAGTTACAGGTAAAGAATAGGTTGAATGACTCCTTTTACATCTGAGCAGCAATGTTAAGTTTGAATGGAAACAAAAAGCTTGTTTTCTCAAATCTACTATTGCACTTGAAATATGTTGCAATCCCATTTATTTTCAGAATGGACTGAAGCAGTATTGTTTTGTGGTGTTCTTACTGGAGTGCTTCTTTGTTGCTGCTTTCATCTTTCTCATAATTCCTGAGACAAAAAACAAATCTTTTCTGGAGATCAAAAAGGAATTTCACAAACTCAATTATGGAAGAAATGCCAGGAAAAAGGAAACGGAGCTTTATGAAAGAAGACAACTTCGAGATGAATTTTTAAAGATTTCTGCATAATTTCACAAATGCAACAGAACTTCAGTGAGAATAATGAACATAGTCGTCTAAATTAGGAGTGTAATACATGATCAAGTGGCTTATTAAATCTTCCTGTGTATTTAGAGGAAGTGTAACTAAAGGCAAGTTAGTATTGCTGAAGTACTATTAACAATATACTGTGTTATCCACAGAGAACTTGATGTTTAGCTGTAACCTGGTGCTGTACAGATGCATAAATGCCAGGGAGGATGTTCAGTGAGCCTTTCTGGCAGATTTCTGCAGATAATTCAGACTCCAAAGCCCTGTCTTCAGTTTGGATCATTTGGTGCATCCAAATGCTTTGCTGAGTGTAACATTCAGAGTTCTTGTTAAAACCTACATGAGAACTGAGAACTGATATTTGAAATATCCCAGTTTATGCAGGAAGCGGGGTATTTAGTTTCTGTTTTTCCAATTATGTAACCTGGAAAGCCTTAAAGACATTCCTCATCCAGTCCTATTACTGTACTGTACAATGCAAATACAGCATCTCTCTGAGTTACTGGTATTTGTAATAAATACTTGTATCCTGATAAAAGAATTCCTTGGGTTTCAACTTGGTTTATTTTTTTTTCCTAATCTAGCATCTTAACATTTTAAACTATGCAACAGGGTAAAACTTCTAGTTCTCATCAGACTGAGATCTACATACCAAGAAGCATGAAGTAGCAGAGAGGACAGATGACAAGAATTAAATACTTTTTACCTTTAAACTACAGGGAGCCTGTAGGACATGCTGAATGAGCCTTCTGCCCCCTCTTGAGTATTTTTTCCTGGACTCTTTCTCAACTTAAAATAAATTCTTCACATGTTAGGAAGTAAGAAATCTCACATATAGTGTTTGTGTGCACCTCTGATGTTTGCTTCCATAGCTGTCACTGCCAGGACAGTGGCCCACCTTACCCAGTACAACTTTTCCTGGCTGTAAGCATTTCCAAATGCCATCGGTTACTGAAGTGCTGCAGCAAGCATGGAAGCATGGGATTTCTTGCACATTTTATTTTCCTCCTCTCAGAATTAAGGAAGTATAAGAAATTTTAATTCCATTTTATGTAACTATAGGAAAGAAACACCATTTAGTCCGATTTTGATAACAAAACCATTTGTTTAATTGAAAATAACACAGACTCTGAATAGCAAAGGAGGCAACATCAGGAAGGGATCTTCTTGCCCTTTAGTTTATCCTCTAAGTTTGCAAAATACTTCATTTTTGCTAGCAGCTTCTTGGCTTCTTGAAGATCATCTGAAATGAAATAAAACATTACTACTTTACAAAGGGAGAGGCGAATTTGCATTTTCAAAATTAAGATTTCAGTGACAGCACCTGTTTTAGTACCAAGAGTTGTGAGCTGCAAGGACTCGGACACTATTAAAACCATGGTGCCTGTTGTTTTAATCTCAGATGGTTTGGGAACATCTCAACTCAAATGTTCATAAAACACATAACAATGAACAATTTGGAAAAGAAATATGAATGAATATCCTTTAATGACTTCTATAAAGTGGCTGCAGCATTGATCTACCCACTAGGCAATACAAATGTTTTTGTTCGTTTAAAATGTGTATAAATAGAGCAACTGAAATAACTGAAAAATGCAAATGAGGAAGAGTGGTCTTGACACTGGATAGTGTCAATTCCAAAACTGATATTGAAACAATTTCTCCTCAGTTAAAGGGGAGGGTGGTTTATGACCTGCAGACCAATGCAACACAGTCCTTCTCATGGCACAGAGTAACAGGATGTAACTGCTCACAGCCAGGCTCAGCCAGCACTTTGATGTTTACAGTTACACACACCCACCCCTGACAAACCTGCAGCATTCTGGACCTGGCACAGAACCACAAAGGTTTCTTCCCAGCTTCAGAAGCTCAGGAATGATTCAAGTTTATGCCTATCCATTGCTTGTAGAATAAAGTTATGCTGATTATTGCACAGGAAGTCCCCAAAACCTTATGCTGAACAGGCCTTTACTTGCCACACAGCTTCTGTGGCTTTCACTGCAAAGAACAGCACTCACTGCTCTGCTGCAGTCCAGGACTGCAGAACAACATCTCCCAAATTCAAGTGTGAAACCTCAGAATATGTCTAAGATGAAGTCTGTCCTTCCCAGTATTCTGGGAAACACACAATTTCTTAGCATCAACATTCCCACTCAAAATGATTATTTAAATGCAAGATGAATGGAACTTTTGTACTGCACTTCGCTTTTAATGTGAGGTCTTGAATTTCCCAAATCAGCAGGAATGTCAGTTTAGAAGTACTTATTCTAAATACCTAACAAAGAACCCTTGTTAATGCAGTATTTCTGTTCCATAGCTCAAGAAATACTTGCCAGTAAGTGTGGAGCTTTAAGCATTTAACAGGTATGTATGGCAGCTAAAAACTTCATAAAAACATGTACCTCTTTCAAAAGCTGCAGTCACCTCTCTGGTCAGTTCTTCTTGTTTAACTGCAAAAGAAATTATTTCATTTACTTTTTGTTATACTTAGGATATTTTATACCACTGCATTCTGACTACCTGTGGTGGCAAAGTTCATTACCAGTTTCAGCCTTTGAGAGCCGAGCAAATTTTTCATAATACTGCTGTCAATGTTGATTTAATTACAATTTCAAACATATATTTCTTTGTTTAAACAGGTATACTGACAGAACTTCCAATGCACATCAGTGGTCACTAATTTCCCAACAATCTAAATTATTTTTGGTATATCAGTTTACCCTGCTGCAGTTAATTTTCTCCTGTGCTACTCAGTTTTTATTCTAGTTATTCTAAATGTTTTTAGCACATGGCTTTTATTGCAAAGAATTAAATATATCAGTAAACCAAATGTTTTTGGCATCACCAACAATATAAAAAGAAAGCTGCTTGTGTAAGGAGAAAAAACTCTTAATATAATGGCTGACAGATAAAGAAGGTGAAAGAACTACAATGCCTATATAAATAACATAATTTAGCATGGTCAGACAAGCATTTTATTCAACTTCATTCTGACAGGTTTTTTCTTTGGAACAATTGACTAGCCCTCACCTGATGAAGGTTGAGTAAATTGCTTTTTATTGCCTATATATGTTTATTTTGACATCAGAATAGGTTCTGTTATACAAATGTTCTCAAGACAGATGTGATGTTTAGGTACATAAAAGGGTAAAGACAACACTGGAAAAGGGCAGAAGAAGCTCTTGTAGTGAGCCAATTCCAGACTAACACAAATTGAAGACATTACAAGAAATATACCAAAACAGTTAAAAGCTTTCAGACTCTTGTATTACACAAGATTCAGTATATTAGCTCTGTACAAATTCCTCAGATCATAATGTACCTTTAATTAAAGTTTCAATTTCTTCAAGGTTATCCTCATTTTTGGGCTCTGCTAATTTCTCATTAATTTCCATGATTTCCATAAGGAATGCTGAGTCTGCATCACAGTCTGTCTCTTGTGCTGGCTCCACTCCACTCAGCTCCAGCTGACAGAGGAAATGGGAATTTGAAAATAAATATTCCCACATCTATTTCAATGGGAATTATTTTCTTTAATATTAAATCCCTTAGTGGGGCATACTCAGATTCATATCAGATAAACCTACAGTGCATAGAGTCAGTCTGAAAATTAACTCCATACATACATACACAGGCTGACCATAAAAATAAACAGTTACCCAAAGCCAAAAAAAAACATAACCCAAAGCCATAAAAAAGGCTGCCATGGGCCACACTGAAATTCTAAATAAGCAGCCATGGCCAAACACCACGTGTGATGTGAAAGACAAATTAGTGTAAGATGAGAAGCAAATGAGATGATACTTTTTGGACAAACTTTGGTCTCCCTTCAATCTCTGGTGATCCTCTTCAGGGGAATGCAAATTAGCACATTAAGGACTGAATCGAAGGTGCCATACCTAAGAACAGCCCCCAGGGTCAGTTATAGGAACACTGTAATACCTAAGGGAGACCTTACTAGATAGAGGCCCCGGCTCAGAGGGTTCAGCAGGGTCTGGTAGGCCTTGTTGATCAGGGAAGAGTGTTGCTCAGAGTAGTACTGCTCTTTCTGCAAATGGATGGTAAATAATTGGAAGCTAATAACAAGTGTCAAAACAGACTTTGTTACATGCGGAACACCAGCGTCCCCACACCAGTCCGTGTGTGAAACTGAGAAGGCTCTGTGGACCTGGGAACTGTGTCAGTGCACTCAGCTAAGGCCTGGCGAACCGCAGCGGCCCCTCATCGTCCACCTCCACCGCAAATCCATGGCAGAGTCTCTTCTGAGCACCGAAAGACAAACACAGGCGAATCCCCTCACTCCCCGAGCGGGAGAGAGGTGGGGACTCGACACTGCGACCCCGCCACTCAGCCGAAGGCTAAAGGCGATTTCCTCCGGCGGTCACCGAGCCCCGCGGGCCCCTCCCGGCCCGGCGCCCCCGCCCGGGGCTCCCGCCCGGCCCGGCGCTCACCGGCGGCCTCTGGCCGAAGCGGTCGGGGTGGACGGCGCGCTGCAGGCTCCGGAACCGCCGCTGCAGCTGCTGCGCGTCGATGCGGAACGAGCGGTCACTGCAGGACACAAGGCGGGTGAGACCCGCGGCCGGCCGGGCTCGCGGCCGCCCCGCCTACACTCACCAGTCCATCAGGCGGAAAAGGTCAGGACGCGGCGCCGGCGGCTGCAGAGCCTGACAGCCGGGGCAGAAGCGCGGAGGCCCGTCACTGCCGGGGAGCGCAGCGCCACAGCTCCAGCACGGCGGCCCCGGGGCGCGGCCGAGCGAGGCCCCGCGGAGCGCCCACCCGAGCCGCGCCCGCAGCACCGCCCGCATCGCGCCCCGCTCCCGGCGGCCCCCGCGCGGGCCGCGCGCTCATTGGCTGAGCTCGGGGCGCGCGCGCAGCGCGCATGGCGGCCCCGCTCCGACGGCGCGAGCCCCGCGAGCCGTGAGTTCGGGTCCCGCCCGGCCCTTTCCTTCCCTTCTCCTCCTGCCCTTCCCTTCCCTTCCCCTCCCGGCCCTTCCCCGCCCCGGCGCCGCCACAGCCTGCTCCCCGCTGCTTCTCCCGGAGCGGCCACTCGGGGCCGCCGGGCACGGGGCCACAGTGCTCAGTAGGGACGGCGGGGCTGCTGGCGGCGGTGTCGGTCCTGGGGCAGCACTGCCCGGCGGGCTCGGCCCCGCCGCTCCGCACGGTGCGAGGCGGCCGCTGTCGGCTTGGCCCCGCCGTCTGAGCCTTTAGAAGGAGGTTTAGGTTGATACGAGGGAACGTTCCTTTCTGGAAAGGGCTGCCCAGGTCAGAGGTGGGGTCACCATCCCTAGAGGGGTTCCAGAGCCGTCTGGATGTGGAACCAGGGGACAGAGCCAGCGGTGGCATTAGTGGTGCTGGAGAAATTTGCCTCTGTCTTTTCCAACCCAAATGATCCCGTGATTCTGTTCTGTCCGCGGGCCTTGCCTGTGTTTGTAAACATCTGTAACAAACGGGACGGGGGAGGGAACTTGGGAGCTGTCGTGGTTTT